TGCTGAAATATAGTTTACAGAAGTCATCAGAAAAGGGGGTGACGTATGGAAAGGGTGCTGAAGGATTCACTACAGTCTGCAATGAAAGAAATGAAAAGTGGCTGGAAAAAGCAGCAAGGCACCTTGAATATCTACACATATGAAACTGGGTTCAGCCTTGTAGAGAAGGACTTGGGCGTACTGGTGGATGAAGAATTGGACATGAGCCAGCAGTGTGCACATGCAGCCCAGAAAGTCAATTGAATCATGGGCTGCATCTAAAGCAGCATGGCCAGCAGGTCGAGGGAGGGAATTCTGCCCCTCTGCCCTGCTCTGGTGAGACGGCACCTGGAGTCCTGCGTCCAGCTCTGGAGCCCTCAGCACAAAAGAGACATGGACCTGTTGGAGCGGGTCCAGAGGAGGCCACAAAAATGATCAGAGGAATGGAGCACCTCTCCTGTGAGGAAAGGCTGAGAGAGTTGGGCTTGTTCAGCCTGGAGAAGAGAAGGCTCCGAGGAGAGCTTACAGCAGCCTTCCAGTACCTGAAGCAGGCCTGCAAGAGAGGGACATTTTATAAGGACGTGTAGTGATAGGACAAGGGGTAATGGTTCCAAACTGAAAGAGGGTAGGTTTAAATCAGATGTAAGGAGGAAATTTTTTTAAGAGGCTCGTGAGGCGCTGGCACAGGTTGCCCAGAGATGCTGGGGATGCCCCATCCCTGGCAGTGTCCAAAGCCAGGTTGGGTCTCTGCCCACAACAGGAGAGTTGGATTAGATGATCTTTGAAGGTCCCTTCCAACCCAAACCATTCTGTGATGATTCTGTACAATACATTCACAGGGATGGTGCAGTGGAGGGGCTTGGATCGCTGAGGAAGAAGGTGGAATAGTGCAACCTGTGGTTCTTGAGGTCATCCATCTGCACCTTCCATGGTCCCACAGGCTTGAACAAACTGAGTATCAAGGGGGATTGAAATGCTACCAAACCAGAATGGCAGCGAGGTAGTCTGTAAGAAGAGCTGATACCTTTTGTTAGACCAATAAAATAGTGGGGGAAAAAACAACAGCTGACAAAAAAAAGAAAGAACGGAGACAAGTCTTCAGGCACGAAAGCCCTCCCTCAGGCCTGCAAGAGGAGCCAAGGGGAGCTGGCGTGGCAGCACTCCCACATCCACACTGCAGCAGGGCTGGAGAATCAGGCCGGGCGCCAGAGGTGGGGGGAGAGAGGACATTTGAACCCTGTCACCGCAGCGGGTATAGGTCAAAAAACACGTTGTCACTGCAGTAGCTGAGACCCATGCGGCGCCCTCCCTCGCCCCCCTCTCCTTCGCTCCCCCTCGGAGGAGCCCGGGGCTGGCAGGGGTGCTGTGCCCC